ATATAAAATGAAATTTCCATACCCCAAAGGTCTGCCAAGGAAGGATATGATAACGTCAGCAGTGGTGCTGGTCCATGCGCTCACTCACAAGTTGCTATAGAAAAGAAATACGTCAGAACTACCTCTTTGCCACCAAAATCCACAGAGCTCAGGATTTATACGTGAAAAGGTTCCTTGTACTCTCGCTACAATACATAAGCAAACACCAGGAGAGGACGGCAACCTCTCTAATCAGGTTGCAGACCTCTGCTATCTAATTTCACCCACGTAGCACAATAGCTGAAGCAGTTTCTTTGATGTTTCTTGAGGATGTGTTTAGTGCCCAGCTTGCTGTGAAGTTTGCTGTGTGGAGCAGGTCATGGTCATTTCATAGAGCTGGGGACAGAGAAAAGCCCAAGGAGCCACGTTAGCACAGGGTTTAAATGTTAATCCCTTCACTGAGGCGAGTAACCTTTAAATTATATTTTTTAAATTTTAGGATATCTCAAGAGCTGTAAAACATTCGAATAAGAAATTCATTAAAATTGACAAGCCCCCTGTGTGCCAAAAATTACTTCAGAAAGGAAAGAAGTATAGGTTAGTTTGTGAGCCAGAAGCTGAAATAACTCCAGAGGTAAGTCCCTTACACAACCCTCGTTTTGTGTGTTGCAGCTTCGTTAGAAACATGGTACAAAAAGGTTTTTCCTGTATGTTCCTGCCCTGGCGTTAAGGACTTTTTGCACATTCGTTTGCCATTGCCGCAGAAAGCATTTGCCTCTTGAGGCCCTAAAATTTTGGGATGAAATCCTGACGCTAAAGTCAACAGCAGAACTCTCCCAGAGACTGGAACTGGGCTCAGATCTGTGCCAACAGCCAAATACCTCCCCTTTAGTTTATGTTTTGGGTAAATATTTATCTTTAACCTGTTTACGTTGTGTAGGAAATTGAATTTGTTGACGGATCGCTCTTGAAACTAAAAAGTTACATTGAAGTCTATTTGGAGAAACCCGACGACTTCACCTTGTCTTTGGTTGAGCTGGAATCTGACGCAACCGTTTGGAAAGCAAAGCTAAGAGAGAGTGAGTCTCTGGTCTTCCCACGACGAGTTTGTTCCCTCTGAACAGATGCAGGAGTCGGGGTATACTTCACCCCTTAGACACACCTAAAATCCTGCTGCTAAAATCGCAAGGTTTGGGGCTGGAAGTGACAAAACGAAGAGAAGAGCTCTGGGAGGGCGTGGGTGTTGCAGTAAGCTGCAGAATCCCTCCTGAGCAAACAGGCGTGGGCTGTGCGGGAGGATGCTCTGCTGTCGTTTCACCTACTGGGAATCATATGCAGTCTCTATTGCATATTACAGGATTTATACCTGAAAGGTATAAATCTCTACCTGCAATCTCTATTGCCTGTTATAGAGGGCGTACTGCAGCATGTTGGATAAAAGGGGAAAAAAATCATCTCAGTTTTAAAAGTCTTAGCAGCCAAAATCCACCCAGCAGCTTGGTTTTGTGCCCCAGAATTGTTGTAGGAATTCCTCCCTCACCTCTGTAAACTCTTTGCCAGGTGACTGGATACATTACGATCAGAACAAAAACGAGCAGAAGAGAAGCGCCGTCGGTAAGTCAATCCCAGGTTGCTCATTTTCTGTCTACCTCGCTTGCTGTTGTCGCTCCAGTGATGTGCCAGAAGTTAACATCGCCCCTCACTTGCTGCTTAGGGGTCAAAAAACGGAAACCAGCCCTCAGCATTTTGGAAGACGATGGGCTCTGCAACAAAAAGCAGAAGACCAGCAATACTACAGGTAAAGCGTTTGTGTGTCACGTAAAATAAAAGGTTTGGGTTGGTTGGTTTTTTTCTTTTTTTTATTCTGTGAATTGAACCTGACGTCATTGTTTTTTAAGACTTCCACGAATCTGGGCGTGATACTTATGCTTTTGTAGGTGCAGGATTTATACCGGTGCTTGTTTGCTTTGCTACACGGTCATTCATTCTGTAAGAAATGGGGAGAAGCAGCTAGGAAATGTGTTAGAGTCAGCTAAAATGGTATTGTCTTCTAAGACTGGGCAATAGTGGCTGGTTTTCAAAGTGGTTAACTGTGTGGGTGAAGTAAAGGGAAAATGAACATCTGGAGCAGCTGTAGGTTTGGTGAAAAACTGGCATCCGAACTTTGCCCGCAGGTGGTGAGTGCTTAGTGTGGCCTTAACGTTACGTCTCGAGGCGCTTGGTAACCTGACGTACAGTTTTTCCACTAGAGGAATAGCTGCTTATAAATGGAAAAAAGAGATCCTTTACAGCGGCAGGCATGCAGTCAGATGCTGTCGTCTTCGTGAGCCAGGCTTTTCAGTCCTTTGGGTGCTTTTCTCTAGCACTTGGCTCTGACCTTGCTGGATAATCGGAATAATAAGATCCCCTTTATCGTATGGTCCTGTGGCCATGCACAAAACTAATAGTGTCACTGAGCTACAAGTGTAATGAAAAGAGCAGTGTTAAATCTGATTTTTGCTCTACGTCTTTTCAGATGGAATTGAAACGAAGAACTTAACTGATCAACAGCTGATGGTGATCGCAAAGTTGTTCGGTAGGCAGTGGAGAGAAATTGCCATTGAGTGTCTTCAGATGGAAATGAAGGACATCGAGCAGATTCAGGCAGTGGAGGAAGAAGTTAATATGCAAAAATTTCTGTTGTTAAGCAAGTGGCGAGACAGAGAGCAAAGCAATGGGACTGCAGAAGCCCTGTACAGCAGTCTCCACGAAAAAGCGTCCTATGAGATACTGCAAGCCCTGCAAGGTACTGCCTTCCCATTGCATTTATTTAATTACATCCATGTGTTTCAGAGGGATTTTAAGAATTTGTGTCAGTTCATAAAATACCCAGTACGTGTTTTACTACGTAGGTCAAAGTTGTCTCCCTTCTGTTATTAGCCATGACTTTTTCATGTGGCATTTTTATACTTCCCTTCCGAAAGGGATATAAAACCAATAATATTTTTGCACTGACTGTGTTGAGAGAACTCTGAGCATGACCTAGTCATCACGGCCAAACCGGTCAGCGTTAGATACCCAAACCAATTCTTGGTTCTCTCGGGAAGCCCAAAGAGGAGACGTTTGGGTCTTTGCTCTTAGGAAGGGTCAATTAACACCTTCCCCTGACGAACGACTGTGCGGCTTGGTCCTGCAGACCTGTGTGTGTGTATTTCCTTACAAGCCAAGGGGAACCTTCCTCAAAAACAAAGTATATAACTTTTTTTGGCAGCAGGAAAAGCTTTGAAACTCTTTCTTCACTCTCCCCAGAAGCAACCTGGTTTCCTAGGGTGGAGAGCTGCTCCTGCTCCCTCGCTCCTTTGACCCTGTCTGTGCCATAGCCTTGGGCTGTCTCGCAGGCTCTTAAGGCATTTCTTACTCAACTCGAATGTTGCAGTAACTTGTAGAGATCAGACAACCTGTAGGTGTTCCTTTCCTTAGGTTTTTCGTCTCGGTGCTGAGCCAGTGAAGCCGCAGCTAAAAGGAGCACAGTGGGAGCTTCCCCAGCCAGCCGACACGCTTCTCTGGCTGCTTCCCCGGGATCTGGTGGAGATTTGGGAAGGAAGATGGCAAGGCGTCATCACTTGGAGGAAAGTTTAGGCAGGATCTCCGCAAGAAATGCAAATGAAGTTTTGCGCGGCTCTAAGCACACGTAAGGCTTTCAGGAGCAATTACTGCATGGCGGATCCCGGCATCGCGGCTGGGAATGCCGGTACGGGGCAAACCCACGCTGCCACCCACCTTCGTCTCATTTGAGCCAGTCCTAAAAGACATGAACATTGGGAGAAACCACTTTACCTTGTTCAGGTATATCTGGAAACGTTTTTATTTACATCAGGGAAAGACAGGGAGAAACGTTGTGCAGCAACTTTCCTCCCCTTAAAATTACTGAACTGCCACAATCATGAGATACGTTGTATTGCTCACGGATGCCCAAGATCAGGGAAGAATAATGCTAAATTTGCAGGCAAATTCCTTTGCATAGTCACTGTATATATACGTAATTACTGTATATACTCGTGTACCTTCAGTCCTTGTTAAGCTGTGGTTCTGTTTCCTAAAAACCCGAAGACTGGGTTCATGGGAGCAGCACTATCAACTCCAGGCAGCTTTGAATTCTCCCTGGGAATTTCTTCACTCTTTTCTGTATAGTCTGTCTCAATTTTTATGAGATCATTTTTATGTTGAATAGTTGTTTTTTGTACTATAAGCTTTTTATACTTTTTTTTTTTTTTTACTTGATTCATTACAACTGGGATAGAATTAGGTGCTTAAACTAAAATGGAGAAGCCAGAATCTGCCAAGGCTGTTTCTCAGTTGGCAGTGCACGGGCTACGAAATTGAAAAACATTTGGAAATAATGTTATTTGCAGAAGAGAGCGGCAACCCGATACGGGAGACTCTCATGTTTTTAAAGACGTGTGATTCTTAAGGATTAAAAAGAAAACATTTACACTATTTACGTATGATTTTTGATTTATTTTTTTTTATTTTAGCTGTTGGGTGAAATGTTGCAAGGTTGTCATATGTTGTGGACCGTCTTTCCAACCCTTGATGCTCCTTCACTGCTACGTACATCCCTGGGGGTGGCCGAGGAAAAGGGCTGTTGGTGCCCAGGACCTCACCGACTCTTTCTGCTGGTGGGGAAAAAAAGCTGGTGTGGGGCTCTCCATCCCTTTCCTCCACTGAAAGGGCTGTCAGGCATTGGAACAGGCTGCACGGGGAGGTGGTGGATCACCATCCCTGGAGGGATTTAAGAGACAAGTTGATGCTCAGGGACATGGTTTAGGGTAGACTTGGCAGTGCTGGTTGATGGTTGGACTCAATGACCTTAATGGTCTTTTCCAACCAAAACAATTCTATGATTCTATGATCCCCGGGCAGAGCTGCCCTTGGCTTTTCTCTCTGGGACAGGCTGGGGGGAAATTGCCATCAGGGGGACCTTTAAGATACTTGATAAAATCCAAAGCTCTAATAGGACCCTCTGTTCAAAAGCAGAAAACTCCAAGCTGGAAATAAGATGCTTATTTGTAATAATGAGGGTAAGTGGATAGCGTAGCAGGCGATCAGAAGAGATGATAAGGCCTTCAGCCTTCAGGTTCTTTAAATCAAAATCAAGAACTCTTTAAAAAAAAATTTCTTTCTGTGGTTCTCAGTTTGTCTTTGTCCAGTTCTTGCAGGCAGAAGGAATTAAAAACCTACAGCTGCAGAAGGACATCAAGGCATCGAGGCGTGAGGTTGCTCTTACCTTAAGACTCAGCGTATGTTGTGGGTGGTCGGTGGGAGTAGGGACGGTGGGTGTTGGAGCGGTGGGAGAAGCCAAGCGAGGGGAGAGAGCTGAAGAGCAAGGCACTGGTGATGGGGGCGGTGGGGGCTGAGTGGGACATGGTCAGCAGCAGCCTGGTCACTGCTTGGGCGAGGGCAGACCCAGGGGGGATGGATGCCTTCAGCTAGGCTGGTTAGTACTGGGGGCAGGGGTCGGGACGATCCCAGCATCCCACGCTCTGCAGAAATCCTTGCCTCGTTGAAACAATTCAGCCATTGATTTCAGTGGAGCCAGGATTTCACTCAGGAAACTATGGAACCGGTTGGAAAATCCACTGCAAATGAGGATGAAACCAAGTGGATTGCTCTGAGTGCTGGGTCTGAAAATCCACAAGAAACACGTCTGATGTAAGTAAGAAGAGGGAAACGGGATTTTAAAATACGCTACCGGTGCTGAATGTTGCTATGGTGTACCTTTACACGCCAGCAATATTTGTAGTATTTTAAAAGCAATGAAAAAAGACAGGTCACCACAATTTTTATGCCAACTTTAATTTTATTAGGCAATAAATAGAATAAATAAGGACTGTCATCATAAATAAGTTGATTATTATAAATACGTTTCCATTTCTGAAAATCACAGCTGAATAAGTAAAACAGTTAAATTACAGTTGAGTGTTTGGTAGTTTGAGAACATTTTGGTACTACAGTGTAGCTTATTTTCTAGAAATTGAGAGGTTTAACATGACAGCTTAAAAGGCACTGTGACAACAGCTCGCTAAAACAGGATTTATAAGAAACTCCGTGAAATATTATGCATTAGATTCCTTAAAAACCCCCAGACACCTTGCAGGGCATTGACCCTTAACTGGTTTTTTCTCCAAAACATCCTTAGGTTAAATTTATAGCCGAAGTGCTGGAGGGCTGGGCGCTTACAGCGAGCTCTCCAGAGAGGTCAGGTAGTTCATCATCCTGTTGATGGTGATCGTGCGGATTCGGAAACCCTGAAGGATGCTGCAGAGCCTCATCCTCTCCTGGAAGGAGGTGAACCCCACGCCCGCTGATGCCTGTGGCACGCTCCTGCTGCTGCTCTTCAGCGCCTGGGAAGAGATAGAGACGTTACCAACTATCCCCAGGAAGGGGCTGAAACAGAAACTTCTAGATTTTTCAGCCCCCGAGTGATAAGTGACAAGACTTAGAAATAGGACTGTATGCTCATAAATGAAATATTTTAAATATTTAATGATATAACTAATACGCTTGGGATAAAATTTGACATATTTAATGATATAATTAATAGGATTAAAATTTGAAATATTTAATGATCTAATTAATAAACATAGGCCGTGCAGCTTGAGACAAAAGGTCCAATGTCCATTCATGCATAAAGGCTCTTTCTGCCCATGAATAAAGATGCTTTTTAAAATAAGCCTATGGTTGGCTTTGTCTGGCGACCCCTTAGACTGGGCTCATCTGCCAGAATCTCCAGGCTATTGGGAGCTAGTGGGTCAATACGAAGGGAGTTAACTTTTTTTAATTAGCATTTGTTAAACAAACAAGCTTTTTACTTCTATTCTCTCTCCTCACTAATAATTTTTATTGAAGTTCAGTACATCCTATGTTATACTCAGTTTGCCCAGTGTGTTATATCTCAGTATTTGGAAGAGAAATAGGGCTACGTCCCTTGTACTCTCTCCTTTATTCTATTTTGAAGTTCTCTGGAACTGGCAGAAAACCCTGTGCCCCGTCTCAGAGCAGTGTGAAAGGAGGAGGGCTGCTGAGGAGCCATACGTCTGAGTCCTGACGTGCTGACCGTATCAGCAAGGACAAATATGAAAAACAAGACCCAGTTTGTAAGAATCACATCCCTTCCAGGAAAAAACAACAACAGACAATATTTAAATCACCAGATTAAATAAAGGTCAGTATTTGACTGACTACAGAATGGAGCACACTGGGTTAAAAACTCTGGTTTGAGACAGAAATAGTAAAAAGGCAGGAGACGCGATACTTACTTTCATCATACCATCAATAGTTGCCAGCACCTTTTGATCATCAAAGTTCTTCAGCTCTGCCCTGTAGGCACTCAGATCCTCATAGATGCCCTGCAGGCATTTACTCTGCAAAAGGCAGAATTATTAGGAAATGTGGGAATCTCTTGTTAAACGCTTTAAACTTAGAACAAGCAAAAGAAGGCGTTGTTTTGGGAAACTTGCAAATTTACCATATCAAAAGTAGATCTTTCCAGTGCTGGACAGCTGCTAGTCTGCAAATTAAAGAAGAAATCAGACATGCTGATTTTGTGGAAATATGAATTACACGGCTCTTCCATGAAAATATGATGCTGAAACTTAATATATATCTATATATTACCCCTGGATCCTCAGATGTGCAGGCTTTTATTGTGTTGATTTGATTCTCAGTGATATCTTCAAGATCAACCTCTTCGAGGGTACATTCAAATCCCAGGGTGCCGAGCTCCTGCGTTAAAAAGGGAATAAAAAAGGGTCATTGACTCAGCTCCGTGGTATGTATATCTACATGTAAATACACAGGTAAGTGATGGGTCATTTGCTGTCTGTGTTTAGCTGAATCCTAGGAATGAGACTGCGTGAGGGCTATGGTAAAAAGCTTGTGAATAGACTGAGACTTGTTTTATAGGTCGTAGCCAATTGCACTGGCTCCATTACCTCAAATCTTTTTCTCAGACACAGAATCTAGTGAGAACTTTGCGCTGCTATGGTTTTACATGTGAAGTATTTCTTAGAAAGTAAAACTAAA